TTAAGTAGCCTAGACATAGGACCTTAACCCGAGGTTGCGACTATTTCCATCCTAAAACTAAGATATCTCTCATAATAGACATATTAGGGAATGTCTTAGGACTTTGAACYTRCTTAGACATAAGTCAAGTGAAAARCGTAGTCGTTGGTTCCTAAAGTAAAATGCATATCGTCCTTAGCGTATCCTTGATTCTTTGTTGGCTAACTTGAAGTAATTCGGGCTAGRTTTTACCATTATAAGACCAAATYCCAAATCCAAAACCATTATTTGTGACCACTTCCCATTTTACAAGAATTACTCATTTTAACGTTCACTATTCATTAAAACTTTAGAGTTTGGAAATTATTTAGAAGTCCTTGAGGATCGATACTTGGATACTCCATCCATTTTTTATTACTCTGACAGGTGTGCGCTTGCATCTATAGAATTGTTACCACGCTTAGTGCGTGCGTTCAGCATAACCACAGTCAAGTTTTTGGCGCCGTTGTCGGGGACTTTAGTTTTAAAATTATTTTCAAATTCTTTTAGTTTTTATTTTTGTGAATTGTTGTTGGGTGTAATTTCCATCCACCGTTTTTGTTCTATATTTTTGGTCGTTTATCTCACAAAGGTAAGTTAAAGTGCATGAGCACAAGATCTTTTCTTCTACCCCTTGACCCTGAGATTGAGCAGACCTTTCGAAAAACTCGAAAGGAGCAAAGAATTCGAAAACAACTAGAAAAGCAAAAAGAGAGAGAAGGTGAAATCAGTCCTGAAAGTGAGGTAGAGAGTATGAATTCATCAATGGCAGATATTCCACCTCGTGATCCGGTTGATCCACATGCTGTTAACAGTTATATGAGGGATCACGCAAGAAATAATGAATTCAACCATATCCAGATGGCGGACAACAGAGACGTGGCAATACGAGAATATGCCGCCACGGCTTTTCAGAACTTTGATTGAGGGATAGTCAACCCTATTCCAGCCCACGCAAACTTTGAGCTTAAACCAATGATGTTCCAAATGTTGCAGACAATTGGACATTTTGGAGGGCAGGAATATGAGGATCCACATGATCATCTGAAATCATTCATTCAAATTGCAGATGCATTTCGATTACTTGGTATAACAGACGATGCTCTTAGACTAACACTTTTTCCATTTTCTTTGAAGGACCAAGCTAGAGCATGGCTCAATGCATTTCCACCGGATCCATCACCACATGGGGGTCGTTAGTAGAGAAGTTCTTAACAAAATTCTCCCCACCTACTCGCCACGCTGATCTCAGAGAGGAGATCATCTCCTTTAGACAGTATGATCGTGAACCTGTTCACGAGGCGTGGGAAAGATTTAAAGAACTAACGAGGAAATGTCCGAACCATGGCTTGCCGGCATGCATCAAGATAGAACATTTCTTCAGAGCTTTAGATCATCCTACTAAGATGATGCTAAACAATGCTGCCAACGGAGCTTTTACAAAGAAGACATTCAACGAGATAGTCGACATCCTAAATGACTTAGCTTCACACAACGAACTATGGTGTTCGCAAAGATCTAGGACAACACCAAAGAAGCAAGATCCAGCTGGAGTTTTGGCTCTGGACATTGCGACCTCGATGCAAAAAGAGATGGTTACAATGAACYAGAGRCTGAAAGARATGGCGTTGGGAATAAAAAATCCATTAGCCACGCCGATACAAMCTGTGCARTCGRATTATTGCACTCCTGCCCCTGTTTGCCAAGTCAACGATCTCATTTGTTCATTTTGCAGTGAAAACCATATTTATGATAATTGTCCACATAACCCTGCTTCCGTTTTTTATGTAGGACATGGGAACAATAGGAACTTTAACCCATATTCGAACACCTACGACCCAGGTTGGAGGCACCACCCTAATTTCTCATGGGGAGGTCAACGAGGTTCAAGCGGTTTTAATAAAGGGCAAAGCCAGCAGAATAAGCAGCCCTATGTTCCACCTACACAGCAATACATCCCGCCACCGCAACAGCAGTACAATCAGAGAACACAGACTCCACTAGTTCAAAATAACAACTCAAATCTTGAGAATATGATGAAGGAGTACATGGCCCAAACCGACGCAGTGATAAAATCCCAAGCGGCATCAATGAGGAATTTCGAGACCTAATTGGGACAGCTCGCCAATGAATTGATGAATAGACCACAAGGTTCTTTTCCAGGCCATACTGAATTACCAAAACGAGAAGGAAAGAACAGTGCAAAGCTGTCACCCTTAGGAGTGGACTGGCATATGATGAACCAATAATGCCAACAACAGATGTATAGATTCCGTCCACTGAACCAACTGAAAAGATACCAGAGAATCCAACAACACCAGAAAAAAAATATTAGAAAAGGTAATGAGGACACCCCGAGTGTTCCTCCACAGGTACAACCTTCTTTTACCCCTACTCCCCCGTTTCCACAAAGATTGGTTAAGAAAAATAATGATTCCCAGTTTAGAAAATTTTTAGATATTTTAAAACAATTGCATATAAATATACCATTAGTACATGCTCTAGAACAGATGCCAAATTATGCTAAGTTTTTGAAAGATATAGTTTATAGGAAGAAAAAGATAGGAGAGCATGAACTGGTAGCCATGACAAAATGTAGTAACGAAGCTGTAGGCAGCCCGCTACCCATGAAATGTAACGATCCTGGCAGTTTTACCATTCCATGTTCCATAGGAGGGAAAAACTTAGGTAGGGCATTATGTGATCTAGGCGCTAGCATTAATCTTATGTCATTATCAGTTTTCAAATCTTTAGGCATAGGAGAAGCTAGACCTACTACGGTTATCCACCAACTAGCATATATATCTATCATAAGACCTGAGGGAAAGATAGAAGATGTTTTAGTCCAGGTGGACAAATTCATTTTCCCTGCGGACTTTATCATTCTAGATTGCGAGGCAGACTTTAACGCCCCAGGCCCAGGATTCGGAATCCGGTTTCGACACCTCTCTGCCCCGGCATTCCCTTACGACCTGGCTGCGCCACCCTCAAGTTCTAAGCCACTTAGAAGAGCATAGACTGCCCCTACAGACCAACACGAGTCCTTCCAGCATGCTTTGTCCTCACTCACATGCTTCCTAGTAAAGCAACTAGGAGGTCACCCAACGTAAGATTGCTCCAAGCCAAGCATGCTTAACTTTGAAGTTCTTACGATTGAGCCACCGAAAAGGAAGGTGCACCTTGTTGGTATAGGTAGTGACTATCAATTCTTTTTAACCCTTTATTGACCATTCTTCAATAATCTCAGGATCCCTCTCATTCGGATGTGGTATCGGTTCATTCATGTACCCCTCCTCTCGGGCGTCACATGCCCACCAGCTTCCGCTTTGGTTCGTCCCCGAACCACATCTTATTGGGAGGCCCAGGAATCCTGCACCTTGTTGGTATAGGTAGTGACTATCAATTCTTTTTAACCCTTTATTGACCATTCTTCAATAATCTCAGGATCCCCCTCATTCGGATGTGGTATCGGTTCATTCATGTACCCCTCCTCTCGGGCGTCACACAGACTTAGACGTTCCCATTATTTTAGGAAGACCATTTCTAGCCACTGGGATACAGTTTTTATTGTGAGGAAAGGAGAAATTACAATGAGGGTAAATAATGAAGAAGTTAAATTTAACGTTCTAGACGCCATGAA